CCCATGCAGCGCGGCTACACGGGGCTCGAACTAGGTAGTTCGGACTAGGCTTCCTATTCCGAACTACCGGTACACCTTGTGGAATGAGGAGTACAGCTAGTTCGGATTAGGAAGCCTAATCCGAACTAGCTACTCCGTGCCGTGTGCAGCCGCGCGGCACGGGGTTCGAACTAGCCGGCATTTAAAAATGGCGCCGGCCGGCTTTATGCAAATGAAGCCCGGGAAATTCAAATCCCGGGTTTCATTTGCAATTGCGGATGACTACATTACCCCCGCTAGTTCGAACTAGCGGGGTAGTGTAGACATACCCCTACATAGCTGAGAGACATGCTAGAGACTTTGATCAATGACAGCATTCCAGATGGTGGAAGGAGAAGTGAGCCAAAAGAAGGTTTGTGGTTTCCCGATTCCCTTGAAATGCCCTTCTCCGACTTCCTGGCATTCCACACGGATCTCAAAGCAAATGCCATTAGTTAAGCAGTGTCTGCTGACAGAATAGGTCCCCTTCATCACTGGACTGATTGCTACTGAACTAAATAATCAACATCCCAACTCTCCTTTGTGGGTAGCTAGCACTTTTGACCCAAGACACTGAAAGCTCTTCATAATAGCAGACATGTGGCAACTTTATTTTACACTTAGGCAGACAGGTTAAATGACACAATTCCATAGCAGTAGAACCGAGGCCTGATTCCCAGGCCTGTGCTCTGACCACTGGGCCACATTGCCTCCCTCAGTAACAAATTAAGGGCTATGCTGAAAATTCCAGTTCTGGAGGCCCAGGTGCTCACTGAACAAAGTGCTTAGCACTTGTGTTCTGACTTACCAGTCAGTCTCATCTAGCGGCTGTTTGGAACCGCCCAGTCCACAGTAGCACCCATAATCATTGTAATTCAGGAGGGCTAGTTTCCCCGTCATATGCTTCAACATGTCGGCAAACTGAATCAGGTTACTGCATGTGGAGGGCAGCCCTGCAAGCAAAGAGATGGGGATAATTAAACTGTAGCTAAAGGAAAGTTGGAGAAAAACACCCCCTACTTCACCCATCAATCTCTACTGCATCCTACCCCGGCCCTCTGCTCATTCTGCAGACAGGGAGTGACTAACCTAACTTGTGTGGAGCTGTATCTGCTCAGAACACAGGGATCTGCTCATGAATCTCACCCACAGTTCCCCTCTGCCCCCTCCTATTTACTGCTGGGTGCTTGGATCGTTGACTCAGGGTGGTAACCATTGGCTCCCGTTCTTGCTAATATGAACCCACCAGATCTGTTTCTTTTCCTCCCCAGCCCAGATCTCTCCCCCGCCCCCAGTTTGTGCAACATTGCACTAGATTACCTCGTCTCAAGCAAATCGTTAAGGCTTTTTATGACAGCAGTTTCAAATCAGTGTCAGCATTTACAGGAAAATCAGGAGCATTAGCAACATGCCACAGGCTTGGGTATTTACTTACAGCACAGGAAAAGTAAAGAGATGCCAGGCAACTGCTTCATGTCAGTCGAGAGCTGTTTGAAAGGGACAATCCAGCTATAGAAAGCACTCACCAGTAATGAGGGCTCACTGCGCAGTGCACAGTACCAACTGTACCTTTCTTGCTGGTGGTTATATGCCCCCACTCCTTATTAAACTAACTAAAAAAGGGTGCACAAATATTTACAATTCTCACCAAAAACTATTTGTGATGCGGCATGTGACTGGGATTCCCGGACACTGTTGCTCTAGGGACTTAGGCCCAGATCCGCAAAGGTAATTAGGTGGAGCGGAGGTCCCCTGAGGGACCGGGCCTTCGTGTTGTGGTCCATGTCAGATGGGGTGTGAGAGCCACATGATGAAACAAAAACCACCCAGCAGTCAATGTTTTCCTTGCATTTTGAGACTCAGCAATGGGCCTTTTTTCACAGGAAGTTTTGCCCAGTAGGGGCATTGTCAGAAGTACAAGGCAGCATGCCGAAGCGTGCACTGCTGCACCCAAAATAGGCATTAAAGCCATGAATGCAAACTGGAACCTTCATGCACTCACTGGCCTCTGTTCCATATGTGCGATTCCACCTCTGCATGGGACATGGTGCTTTGCTGTTGCTAGAGACACTGCTGATGGGAAGGCAGAATGACAGGACACAGGAACTCTTGGTTCCAGAACATTTCTCTGTTGGCTTGGGGACATATGAAGCAGCATCTTCCCTTGGTACCTGTCTAGGGTAAAAACTGAGCCTCTCTCAGTGTGTAGCCTCACCACTCCTTGCCTGACTTGCTTCCATAAAAGGAGCCTGATGCCAGGTATAGAAATCTGTCAGCTCTGTGCTTTCCATTCCAAAGGTCTTTGGGCTCCAGTGGTTCCCAACAATGCCGGTAACTGAAGGTTAGAGTAGGCCAGGACACAGCTGGTAGGACTCCTTTGGGATTAGTGTTGCACTAGCCTCGACAGCAACACCCAATCAGAGCAGAGCCCCGTTGTGTTGCACAAATGCTGCTCTTAAAAAAAATAGAGGGGAAAGGAGGTTAAAAATCAGTTCCATGGACCGTCCCATGCTGCAGAATAAGGTGTTCTGCTCACCTTTATTTAGAAGCAAAGGAAAGAAAACCACATGGTAACTAAAGGAAAGGCAATGAATCTGTAATCAAAACATTAACAATGAGGAGCTGCTACCAACAGTCCTAGGAGAATCCCTCTTCAACCAAATGGTCCCTTGTCACCTTTTTTAGTACTGTAGAAGGACTGTAGCCTAGCAGCACCAAAGCCCTATCATGTTCAGTGCAGTACAAACACGTAGGAAGAGACAGTCCCGTACACTCTACATACACTGGCAAAGGATGGATGATTATCCCCATTTTACAGATGGACAAACTGAGGCACAGAGCACTTCTGACCCTGATTCATAAAAAGTACTCAGGCACATAACTCCCATGCATTCCAATGGGAGTTAGGTACCTAAATGCTTTTAAAAATCTGCATTTGGTCAACCTCACATGAGATGTCAGTGCCAAAGTCAGGAATTGAACCCAGTCCAGTGTCTCAACCATCTTGCCTATGTTGGCTGTCAGACATCAGATGTGGTTCTCTTCCAGTCTGATGTGACAGTTTAAGGTAGAGCCGCTGGACTTTTTAAAAGCAGCCCCCTGGAATTTCTCTGTAGAAAAGCACTTTGAGGTGACAGTCCATTCCTGGCTCCTGGCTGATTGGTCCTGGGGAAACAGCGTATGCAAAGTCTCATCAACCGGGTGGTCAGTAAAACGGTGGGCTGGGGAGTTCCCCTAGCATCTGGGTGTGAATCCTGTGCACTTTCTGTCTCGGTAGCGAACGTAGCGGTTGTTAAATGTCTTCAGATTCCTCTCTAGGCAGAGCGCTGTGTTCTTGTCACAGTCACAGACCTGTTCCTCACACCAGCCGCCCAAAGCTGCCAAGACACAGAGAGAGAAGCGCATTGTTCATTCGGCAATCGCTGCTCCAATGCGGAAGGGGACAAATTCTCAGCACCTCGCTCTCAACTGGCCCTGTCGAGTGCAAAGTGGATATGAAGTGCTGCTACAGGGCTCCCCAGTCATACTGGTGGTAGGTTACATTTGCCAGGAGCTTTGTTTTTAAGATCTCATCCAAACTCCACCTCACAGTCAATTTCATGGTCCCTCGATTTACCTATTTCATCTGGATGAAGGGCCAAAGTCACTGAGTCAGAAGTTGAACCAGGGCTTTCAGGGAATCAAGGTACAGTATTGCACCTCCAATATTTACAGGTCATTCATTCACTTCCTTGCTTCATGCCAACAGGCAGAACAGAACCTGGGACCTTGGAGCATGCACCTGTACAGCCTGAGCTAAAAGCCAGCTGGCTGTCAGCTGAGGCTGTAGAGGAAACTCATTCTCTCTCTCTGTAAGGGGCCTCAGTGCCATTACATGGGGCTGTGAACCATACCCAGCAGGGGTATGTGTAGGTAACACCTCCAGGGACCCTGGTGCAGCCCTTGCCTTCAAACACCTCTCTTCCGGATCAATGGCCATTTGGAAGGAGAACACGAAGCAAGAAAGACAAGGGAGCAAACCAGTCAGCTGATTCCAGAGTAGAAGTAAAGCACATCGCAACCAGACCCCGGGGAAAGAACTCACCACACAGGATGTTCCCATCCTTGTAGGTGTAGCTGTACCGCTGCCTGCTCCCAGAACAGCCGCTGGATTTTAACCGTTTGTAGCAGCAGTGATGAGCATGGCAGCACCTGCCAGGAGAATGAAGAGCAGAGGCAGACGTCACAGGTCTGCTTGCCATGAAAACAAGCATCAGGCAGGGGAGCGGATCTTTTCTGTGCAAACATGTCCGGCTGTTGCCTCCGCGTTTGTTGGATTCATTGTACACACCGAGGACATCACACTAATACCTCTATTGGTTCATGTGCGAACCAGGCCCTGGCTGACCCCGCCAGAAATGCCCTGGAGGCAGAACCTGTGTTTTCTGGAGAAGCCATGGAGCATCTTTGGAGACTTTCCATCCCGCCAGTCTCCTGCAAAGGACCCTTGATCATAAACTTGACTACACTTCATAAGGTTAGCTAAGCACCAGCCCCTTCTTTCACCATGACAGAGTATGGGGGGGAGGGTCCCTTTATGAATCCTGGGGCTTGACTGGGTGAGAGTGTTTTGTTGGGTGGTGGAAATTGCAGTGCTGCTTGAGGAACAATCTAGTTTAAAAAATATATCTAGTAGTAGCTGTAGTAAGATGAGGGCATGAGACATAAGCCCATATAGCACAGGCCTGGTTTGAGGTCTGAGGCCTAGCTAACAATGGACAAAACATGGCTAACATAAAGCAAAGCTAAGCTGTAAGCAAAAGCAGACCCCTGCTCACAGACCTTGGCATGAACAGGGCTGAGACTAATTGGTAATTGGGACTTATACACAGCTCATTGAAAAAGACCATGGTACCCACTCCCCATAAATACCAACTCAGGGTCAGGGAAAGGGTCTAAGATAACAACCTGATGGATGTTTACTCCCCAAAGATACTAACTCAGGTTCAGGAAAAGATCAAGATTGATACACAATGGATGGAGATGGTTTAATCAGATCATGAGGCACAAGGTGATTGGTGGTAACCTGGTAACATCAGAGGGCGGCAACCTCACATGTCAGCAGTGATGTGTTTGTGCCTGTATATGAGGTGGTGTCTTGGGGTACAGTTTTTGAATGGCCTCGGGGGGCAATGCAAGTGTTCCATTACATGGGGCTGTGAACCACACCCAGCAGGTGTGTAGGTAACACCTCCAGGGACCCTGGTGCAGCCCTCGCCATTTTGAGCCATTTCATTGTTATGGGGTACAAATGCGTAGTGGTTCAATAGAGTCTATTGACAACTATGACTGTACTTTGCTTAACAATAAACCTAGCCTGGCACCTTCGATCCTTTTCTGGTTTGTGGTCTTTGGGGGCTCTCTTGGGGTCTGCTGTGAAGACTAAGTGCACAAGTCTACACAACACACATCATTGCACACACACACACAAGCAGCCTTCTGGTTATCATCATCCACGGAGTCAGAGACGCGTGCGGACATCGCGCCTGTGAATCCTGGCCCCTGATAACTAAAAGCGTTGGCAAACAGCTGCCTGAACAACTGCAGCAGCAACTTACCAATCTGTTGCATCCTTCGGTTCCCCTCGGCCATCAGACGCGCAGTAGCAGCCGTACCCATAATAACTGAGCAGGGCACTTTTGCTCGTTGCTTGGTTGATCATCTTTCGAAATTCCAGGAGGCTCCCCTGTGCCTCAGACAGAGCTGCCGAGCAGCAAGAGCATTAGAAGGTCAGTTTCCTTGAAAGGACACATCACCTCTCCCCGCTCCTGCTCTTATGCACATGGAGAGCACCCTGCCCGGATTACAGAGCTCTGGGCTGAATCCTGAGAGTGAGCAGGACACAAGCTTTTTGCTAGGGGGCGCTGTGAAGCTGCTGTTCTCTGCCAGGGGCAGAGAGCTGGCGCCCTCTACTGGTGTGTTTCTTGCACAAGTCTCATTCCTGCGTAGATGCTGCGGCAATTGCATGGCTCTTCTTCTGGGGACCAGCGTAGGAGGAGGCAGGGCCAAGACACCAGCTCCTCCCTGCCCCTTTTGCCAGCTGGTTCTCCCATGGGAGGAGCCTTACCCCAGAGGCTTGTTTGGGTCAGGGGCCACTGACCCACAAAAAAAAACCAATCGGGGTCCACACACCAGAAGCTAGGGGGGCCCAGGCTAGTAGATTTTGTGAGCTCCCCGACTCTGGGGTGAGGCCAAAAATGAGAGGCTCATTGTGTGGGAGGGGGTTGCTGGGAAGGGGTCTGAGGCGAGGGGTCTGAGTCCGATTACCCCAGAGGCTTGTTTGGGTCAGGGGCCACTGACCCACAAAAAAAAACCAATCGGGGTCCACACACCAGAAGCTAGGGGGGCCCAGGCTAGTAGATTTTGTGAGCTCCCCGACTCTGGGGTGAGGCCAAAAATGAGAGGCTCATTGTGTGGGAGGGGGTTGCTGGGAAGGGGTCTGAGGCGAGGGGTCTGAGTCCGATGGGGGTGCAGGAGCAAAGTGGGGTGCAGAATATGGGCAAAAGGTAGGGTGTAGGAGTGAAGTGGAGGTGGGGGACCTGGGTGGGAGGGGTTGCAGGAGCAGGCTGGGGGCCAGGGGGTCTGGGAGGGTGAGAGGATGCAGGAGTGGGCTCTGAGCTGTGGGGTCTGGGCGATGCGGGAGCCAGGTACCCAATGCTGGGGAGAGGGAGCCCTGAGCCTCAGGGGCTGGATCCAGGCAAGCCGGGGTGGTGCCTGGCCTTAAGTTTCCCACCCTGCCTTATCCTGCCCCTGACTTTGCACACCTGACTGAGTGAGTAAAGCCTGAGGCACAAACTGGGGCCTCACCCGGTAAGGGCTGATTAAACCCAACGCCCAGCCCCCAAGCTGTGAGCCGAGCATGGTCGTACTTGCGCTGGCCATTCTGCTCACGTGCTGGTTACAGAGCAGAGGGGACGGTGCAATTAGCATTGACAGGGAAGCGGGGTGGAGGGAAGGGGTGGCCTGTACTTACTGCAGGCAATCAGCAAGGTGACTGCAAAGAGACTCTTCATCTTTGTGCAGGACCCGGGAGAAGAAACCCCGACGCCCTGCTCTGTCATTCAGGCCAGGAAATCCGTGGTATCAGTCTCCAGCAGGCTTCGGCTCACTGGCTGCTGCACAGGATGCCGCCGAGAGGATGGAGAGGCAAGTCTGTGCTTCTGGACCACGAGCCCACTCGTGCCAAGGAGTCCAAGCCCTGTCCGGCACAGCAAGGAAATACAAGCGCTCCCGTATAGTGACGTGGGTGTCAGCACCGGCTTTCTCCGCGTCTCCCTTTATTGGAGTCACTGGGTGAGCCAATCATGTCAGGAGGCTGAGGCTCAGAATATGGCCCAATTTGACCCTGCATGTCCCCCCCCACCCGCCTCCCACTGATGTTTCATCAGCCACATACGGTCATGACACAGTGACTGTCTCGCCAGGTGTGAAATCCCAGCCGCATTGGGATCAAGGGCAAAACTCCCCTTGGCATGTGGAGTGAGGGTTTCACCCCAGGAGCCTAACCTTGTTTTACTTCCTAGGTGTGTTCTGCTGTAATCCTTTGGGGGCATGGA